GTACAGGTTTTTCGAGTCCTGCCCATGACGGTGCTCCGCTTTGTAGTTCACGTTGGTTCTCACGTACCACCAAAAAACTGCGATTTTTCGATGCTTGGTTCTGCGGTCTCAGTGACCTCTTTCGTTCTTGCTTGCTTCATTCAAGCTGAGTTGTTTACTTTTCATTTGTTCTGTTCAGGTGCATCAGGGCTGGCTTTGCTGCCCCTGGGTGCCATTGCCAGTTTGGACCCAGCTCCAATTTTCAGACGAGCACACTTGCGCCCGCCAGTCATTGGCTGCGCAGACCTGAATGCAGCACACCCATGCACCCGGCCTTACTTGCCGTCAACTCTAACAAAGCACAGCATTTCTGAGATAAGAGATTCTTGCCACATTTGCCTGGAACAGTTGAAGTTTGCGTTTTCTTAAAGTGCATCATGCCAACGTTTTGGCATTGGATCGGTGGGGGCCACGAAGGCCAACTAGTCAGCTTAGGTTTCATCAACACAGCCATGGAGTGGGCACGCACAAGACTGCAGACAGTCCTTTTTGACAATTTCAACATGTGTGAGAGCTTCCGGACGCACGTATCCTTTGAGGACTGAGAAGACACACTTCACCACACCCAGTTAAATGGGCACCAAAAGCGCGGACCAGGAGTTGACAAAAGATGACATGAACTGTTGATCGAGGTGAGAAGCGGTGGCAAAGGCCACCGCACAGGTTGGTAAAACTTTCAGGTTTGCTTTTTGGTGGAGATCGACGTGCGCCAAGACGAGGGTTTATCTTCATCTTAGGCGGTCCATTGCGCCCTGGATGATCCCGGGGTTGGCCGGAAGGTCACTAACAGGCTGGATCCAAAAAACGGCCCTGCGCCGTGCGCCCCAAAAAATCCGCCTGGACCAAAGGTGCAAGGGCGTTGTGTAGGCTTCGCGCAAACCGCAAGATAGCTGCTGGATTAATCCGCTCAACAAGCTTCGGCCCTTTGATTTTTTTTTTAAGATTGAACAAACTGTATGGTTTCGGAAGCAAACGTTCGCGATGCTGGATATGCAGCCGGGAAGAGTGCATTGTTGACATCATGGGTGTGTTCGTCCGTATGTCATCTTGCGCATGTTCGTCCGTGTCCTGCCCGACTAAGACGGGCAGACAGACCAAGACAGACATACCGAGACAGACAGGCTCCGACAGCACAAGTTGCTGTTTCCCACACCACTTGCGGGCGGCTTCTACCGCGAAGCAGTGTAAATTATATTTCCTAAGTTTCAGAATCTTTGTCTTCCCGGTGCAACTGTCACGCACAGCCCCGCTGACGGAAGCCTGGCTGTCATGGTTTCAGTGGCCAGGGCCGCCGTAAAGCACTCCGAGGCCTCCTGTGGGCGTCATCGGTTCTTCTCTGCATTCGGTGTTGGTTGCAGAGAGGAAAGTGCAAGGAAAGTACTTCATTTGTTGCAAGGATGCATGCTGTTCTGTTTGAGGGCCGGACTGAGGCCGCTGTGGCTGGGGATGCTTTGCCCCGGTTTTTTGACCTGAGCAATGTGACGGGGCTACACTGTTTGGTACTTTATGGCAAGGAGAGAGAGGATCGAGAACATGGGCAGGGAAGGAAAGAGAGAGAGGCAAAAGATGACGCAAGGGCCTTGTTTCCGTAGGGGATTCGGAGACCTGTCGGTGAGAAGGGAGACAAGGACAAAGGAGGGGGTGAAGGGGGAGAGCCTTGGAGTCCCGAGAGAGGAATCCTTAAGGGAGTGGCCACCAAGAGGCCATTCAGAGGAAAGGAACCGTAAACTAGAGAAGGTGTGCCCCACCCTAGAGGCCGCAGCACTAGAGAGGAGGCTCAGCCATGTTTCGATCACGGAGAACACCCCTTGCTTGTGTGCCGTGCAACTGTGCTGCTTGCTCCTGTGTTTAGGTTGGTTTTCATTTTGGTGTGGCTGGTGTGTTGGACTGTTTGGATTGGCCTTGTTGAGTAAGGAATGTCCATGACTTGTGCTGAACCTTTTGTACGTGACGTGCTAAAATGGATGTTCCAGAACGGACGACGCGTGTTGCCATTTTGGGTCAAGCTTGCGACCCATCCTCTGCTCTTTTTCTCCCACCCTCCCACACCTAAAGAAGTCACCCACTTCCCCCCGCTTCTCTGGGTCCCTGGGCGTGAGAGTGGCGTTGCGAGTTCTCTGCACCCATCACGCTCACTGGGTGACAAGATAAATGTCTCGCTTTTGACCACTGAGGCAGAGCGCAGACTTTTTCCAACTTGAGAGCGTGTCGAGTTAGGAATATCCTCTTCTTTTCTTCTTTGTGACGTTTGGCTTCGTCATCCCTTCCCCATCATCGTGTCATTTTCACCTTCGCCACCATCACCTCCATCAATGTGTTTACCTTCAAACACTCAGACGACTCGGCGACATGTGGAACTTTGTCAGTCGCAGTTTCTGTAGGGATCTTTCATAGCTTGTTTAGTTTCTCATGTATTGAACACATTTGCCGTGCACTTCTTATTCCCAATGTGCTTTCAGTCCCCCTTTTTAGTCCGTGCTTCCAACTGCATTCCCCTGAGGCACTCCAACCAAACGAGCAGCAGCAGGATCACTAAGGAGTAGGAGTAGGTGTAGGAGCAGGAGCAGAGGAGGAGGAGGAGGAGGGGAGAAGGAGGAGGAGGAGGAGGCAGCAGTAATAGCAGCAATAGGTAATGGACATGGATACTAGAGAACACCCAAAAGGCCCACAATGTATTTTTATAGAAGCAATAGTTTGTCGTAGTAGTTCGCGGTAATCGCAATAAGTGGTATATGAGGGTAGTGATAGTGATAGGGGTAATAGTACAGGAGTCTTTGTCGTTTTAATAGGACATGCTGGTTGTTTGGATGCATAAGGCTGACAATTGAGGTTGACATGCTCATTGAAAAACATGTGGACACACATAATTGCTGGGACCGAAGCATTTGTGTTCGAGCGCGTCCGTTGAAACATAAAAGTTCATTCAAACACGTTGTTTACAAACACATTATCATTAGCGTCGGTCGAACTTGCCTGAGAGACTGCAAACGACAAATGTTGGGAGACCATGACATTGAAGACACCCCTCGTTGCCAACATGCTGAATGGAGGTTTACAAAATTTTGCAGCAATTAGTTGCGAGGCACACCATAGAAAAATCATGTTTTGGAAGAGTTTGTCATGAAAGAAGAAAAGTTTCAATATTCATTCGACAGTTGATTGCGCAAACCTTTCAATTGACTACAAGCTGATCGACATGCCACAAACAATATTTTTGTTATGTACATTTGTGGCTAGGTGTGTCACGAACACAACTATCACATTGCAAGTTCCAGCTCAAAATTTTACATTCAACAATTAAACCAAGCATGTTTTCTTGTTTTGACAGTGGTGCCACGAGAGCTCCAAAGATGCTGACGACTCAGATTGTCGGTGATGTTTTTGCACGGACCATGGTGCAGAAATGGACGTTTTAGTGGCAGGGGTAGTTGGATTTGATCTCCAATTAAACATAATTTCGACCTTTCAAGGGGTCTGGAATGCTTCTTGAACCCCAACTTGTTTTAATTTATCTATCTATATTGAATTTATCTATCTATTCAGTCAACTCAAAAGCAACAACGCCTGGCATTTCCCTTTGAAAGCCTCGAACCCTCGAACCCCCCCAATACGGAAATTCTCCAAAGCGAATGACTCACCTTGCTACCGGTTCTCACGTTACCAAGGGACCTCACTCACTTTCAAAAAGAGCTCTATGGCGTTGCCTCCTTGGAGCGGGTTACTGTTGCCTAAAACTGGCACCAGGTATGTCGAGCAACACGAGTATGGCTGACAACCTCCAAGTTGCAAATCTTTCGGATTTGTGTGTTGAGCGCTTGTTTCCAATAGGAAGAAAAGGCCGTTACTTTGTTGATGCAGTAAATGGAGGAACTGTTATTTCCATTGCTTCCCCTTGTCTCACAGAGCACACGTGCCGCGCACTGTTTGAGGAGGAAGTGCTTTTGTGCGAGACTCAATTGAGAGAGCAGCAGCCAAAAGCTGGAGTTTGTCCCAACCAATGGCGCTCCCAGGAGAGCATTCCGAATTGGGGAACCAAAAACTGAAGCTCGATTGTACGTGGAAATGCGGATTTTCTTCCTGTCAGCCACTCAGCCACTCAGCCACTTAGACTTTGTTTTTTCTGTCAGCCACTCAGCCACTCAGACTTTCTTCCTGTCAGCCAATCAGCCAATCAGCCACTCAGCCACTTAGACTTAGACTTTCTTTCTGTCAGCCACTCAGCCACTCAGCCACTCAGACTTTCTTCCTGTCAGAGTGGCTGCGTGGCTGAGTGGCCGGTCAGAATCTTGAGTGGCTGGGTGGCTGAGTGGCCGCCGTGAACCGCGACCCGGATTGCACATCCTCTCATCGAAGTTCGATGGAGAGCCAACAATAGCTGAGAATGAACATTCAATGGAGAAAGTACGTCGATTCATGCTCCTTCTCTTTTGTATTGTTGTTCTTAGCTTTGAGATTCTTGCCAAGCATACCGAACACATTCGCAGGAGATTGCGTTTCGGTGCTTGGATTGCGTACCTGGGTAGCAGCCAGCTGATGTATTTGATTTGTTGAAGTTCATAGGAAAGCATTTAGGATTTGGCCAGATGGCCAGGGTTTCCTCCCAAGCTTAGGCTTTGACTGTCAGCCGCCCTTGAGCTGAGGAATTGGATAACAATTGCGTGCAATGCGCTGACTGCTTCTTCAAGGACGCCAAGCGGTTTTATCTTCTGAATTGGTGCTGACTTGAGCATCTTCAGAACTATGCATTGTTTTGGTATAAATACCAGAACGCCATCATGACTTCTATGCAATACTTCCCTAGTACGTATTGCATCATGCACAAGCATTAGAATGTTGTGGGAGCACAGAACTCACTCCTTCGTCCTTCTTGCTAATAGTGAGGCCTGCTGGTAGGGTCCATCATGTCCATCTCCCATGTCGAACGAACCGAACCGAGCCTCGCCTCATCTCCCAGGCGCCCCATGAGGGTCACGAGGTGTCGATGATCCGCACGGTTGGAGGATCTTGCGACTGCGGGGTGGCCCGAGATTTTCGCGTGCGCCGTGGGCCGTACTGCGCTGAACAGTAGTGGTGATCCGAAGCGTTTGGACAGTCTAGGATTATCAGTCGCTTCAGAATGGACCAAAAGACTCTACAAACAACTTCCTTCAGCCAAGATGGTTGGAAATCACCCCCTCCTCTTCCGCCAAATACCTTGTGCCACCGACCCTTGTAGCTCAGAACCCCAACCGATGCATCGTGCGTTCCTTGGATGTCCTGGGATTGGGTCCGCTGAGGTGGAGATCCCTCCTCGTGGGATCCGGCGGGCTTTTGCCCGGAGCATTGCGAGACACCGGCGAGGTGGGGAAGCCTTGGGGATGGAGACTTCGACTTTAGGCCATGTCCATGTCATGCCTTGGGGTGTCTTTGCGTCTTGTGAGGGAGGGTCCGACGTATCGGAGAATCCATGACCATCCTCTTTCGATTGTTGGTGTCTCTTGATGTTTGGAGGTTCAACATGAAAGTAGAAAGAGCTGAGCCCATTTGCAGTGTACCAGGCTCGACAGCCCACAAGCCCTCGAGCTGCTGCCCAAAGGGACTGACCGGTCGGGAATCGGGCACACGGGGTGATGAGATTGGCAAATATGGAACATACATGAAAATACAGTGGTGTGGAGATAGAGCAGGACTCAAAACATTCACACAGAAGTTCAATTTGGGGATGTCTTGGGAGGCTTTGGTTCGTGCAGGATTCTTGCTGCGGCACAGCGCCTCATACCAAAGATAGTAGAGGAGGCTGGAATTGGGTCCTGGACGCCATGGCACTCAAAACATCTCATGAGATGCTAAAACGAAGCTTCAGAACCAAACCAAACCATCTGAACGCCTGACCTAATCCGCGTACCGCAAGGGGACATCCTCCTCCGTTGGATGCCCCTGCAATTTGAGTGAGGTGGATCGTGGCTTGAAAGCTGGACATGGCGATGAGGCGCCATGGACTCGCGCATCGCAGTGTCATTCCATCTATCCCGGTTGGGTTTGTGGAACAGGTTCCGAAGCAATGAGTCGTGAAAAAGCCAAGCCTCGTCCCAGTGCATGGTGGGCCACAATCTTCTTGGTTGGAACTCTTGTTGCTTGAGCAGCCACACCACCAGACCCCTAGTGCAATACCGTTTCCGGCGAAGAAACACATGAGCAAGGTTGACACAGATCTGTAAGCTCGCCGACAGCAGAGTTGTGAGGTAGGATTTGCTGAAGAATTGCACCTCATTGGCACCCTAAGACCTATCAACCAAGATGTACCAGATGGTTAAGACAAAGATCACTCGCTGGCAAAGTACTAAGTTGTTCTTTTGGGACACTGGCTGGTGTTTGTGACCCTGCCATTTTGGAGCCTCAGGTGATCAAGATCCTGGAGCTCTTGCAACGCTTGGGTGACTCTTGGCGTCCCAACAAGCTTGTCTCCTGAAAGCGACGATCTAAGACAGTGATGCGAAGCAGGGGAAGCAGACAATACGAGCTAGCACGGTTGCCATGTTCGAACATTGTTTGCCCACTCTGGTCATTGCACATGTCAAAGGAATCTGAGAAGTTGGGGTTGATGTATGAGGAGAGTTGAGTGCCAGGTGAAGCTTAGGGCCCCCCCTGCCATAGTCCGCTACCAATGTTGGTAACGTGGGGAGCAAACCACGAACCGAAGCTAGGTGCACGAAGTCCTAGACAAAGTCCTCGAAACCAATGGCCGCTAGTCACGGCCCTTTTCCATCGCCATAGCTCGTGACGCGTACGCGGCCCGCCCTGTATTTGAGGCGGCGCGCGAGTTCAGGGTTCTCAAGGTTAAATTCCATGTTGTGTGGCACACAACTCACACAGGTGCAAAAAGGGCTGTTTGTTCAGCCAAAACAAAAGTCATGCTCGTGGCCTCTGGCATCTCGTCTACCAGTTGACATTCGAGCTCACTGCCGTGCCGGTCAGGTCACCGTGGACATTCTGTGCCCAGTGCACACCTTCCATCTCGGATTGTGGCGTGCATTCCTCAAAGAACGTGTGGGCACATGCCTTGCATGGCTGCCTGGTGTATACCAGGTTGGCAGTGCGTTGTCCAACGCAGGCTCGGCTTGCATGCCAACAGCCTCCCATGCTTGCCAGGTACACTGGTTTCAGTGATGCCTGTTGCTTTGCCACTTTCAGCTTCTGGTCGAGCATCCTCTGCTGCTCATCCTTAAGCTTTTGTAGTTCTCGATGCAAGCTCTCTTCGTGCCTCCGGGTAGTTTGGTACTGGTGTTGTGCCAGTGCCCATTCATTCTTGAGATTTGCTACTTCCTCTGTCAGGGCCATCTTATCTTTCCTGAGTTTGATCAATCTCTCTTCCTCCAAGCCAGTTCTGGTCGTTTGGGTGCTCATCTCTCGTGTTGCCCTCCTTGTCTCGGCTGCGTGTTCCTCTCGTGTAGTTGTTGGCGTCCAGGTCATAGTCCAACCATTGCTGCATTTGATGCAGAACCAAATGAACATGCCGATCATCAAGGTGAACAGGATCATCAGGACATATTCCGTCTTGTCATACTCGTCATGGTCATAGTTTTCCACCTTCGTGCCATAGGTCTCCTTTGTCTCCCATTCTGCCCTTGCGGAACTCATGAAATGAGTGGCGAACATAGCGAAAAGTGCTCGCTCTGGCTTCTTGATGGCATACATGTTCTCTCCTTTCTTGCGGCTTGCCATGTTCTTCTTCTTCGATGCCTGGAAGTTGTCATCACTTGTGAGCTTGGTCATGTGTGTTCTCAAGCGTTGACCAAGTAGTGGTGCAGCTGCATCTTTGGTGAGGCCATCTGCATATTGGAGCTCCGATGATACCCATCGTACTTTGCCATTGCAACATGCCAGCTTGTCTCTGCAAACCAAGGCTTCAATGGTGGTCCTCTTGTCAGCTCCTGTTGCAGCTTGGATTTCATCCTTCACCAGGATGTCGTATAGGGCCTTGGCGTCCACGACAAGTTTTGGGCTGTTTGCCAAGTAGCCGGTGCTGACGTTGTCCAGGGGCATCAATGCTCTAAAGATGAGGTTCCAGAAGAGTGTCGTGTACATGAGGCTGTCAGCTGCTTCACTTGCTGCCTGGCTTTCTGCTGCCAAAGTGCTTCTCGACACTCGGGGCAACTTCCAGCTTCTCCAATCCAGAACGTTATAGTGCCCTTCACACTTGCCTTCTGCAACATCTCGATGACACATTGCCAATATGTATCCTCCTTGACTGCTCAGGTCGCACCTTGTCGCGAAGGAGGCATCACTGTAGGCAATGAAGGTCATTTCACCTTTTGAGCCCAGTTTTCTGTACTGGAGACCAACGTCGGCATACTCTTTGGCATAGCGCAAGTGCTTGTTGCCTTTCTGCAATGTCTCGATCGTAGCTCGTGATGTTTCTCCGGCTAGCTGAGAAATTCCAACTTGCAGATGGGGTGCACTTTGTGTCGCTGGCCATTGTAGGCCTCCGATCAGGCCTCGTAGCAGGGATCTTTCTTTCTCAGTAACTGCCAGGGAGGTGTCTCTCAGCCTTTCCTTGGTGATAGGAATTGGCTTCACCTTGTGAATGTATTCCTCCTGCTTCAGCACGATCACTTCATCCTTCTCGCAATCAATCTGGCTTCCGCAGTACTCAAGCTTGTTGCCGTCCTGCCACTCCCTAAAGGTGAAGATCTCCTGCAATTTCTTCTTCACATCTATGAAGTATTGATCATGTGGGTCTCCGCAACCTACCAGGTCGTCCACATGGATTCCGAAGATGCAGGCAAGATCTCTTTCCACCATGGGATCCATTGCTTGTTCAGCTGGCAAGGGTCGGTACACAAGAAATAGGCATGGATCCAGCGGATGTCGTTGGATATCACCACCTCCGGCCCTCAGAATCCTTTCACTTGCCTCCTCATACCAGGCTCTCGGGGCATCACATAGCCCATACATTGGCTTCACCAGTTTCATCAGCGTTGAGTCATCTGGTTGTAGTCCCAAAAGTGTCTTTGCATCCTTGGGCAGTTTGATCCAGATCACTCTGTTCGTGCTTTGATCGAAGTTCTTGCCCTGCAAGAATGCTGTGGTGATGTCACTGGTGAACATCTTCCAAGTGTAGAGCTGGCAAATGGACAAGATCATGCCTCTTGAGAGTCTGGTCAGTGTTGGTGCATTTGTGTTGAGATTGCCGGAGAGTGCATCAGGATCCTTGAATCCCTGGGTGATCAACCTCGCTTTTGCACGAGGCGTCCCGTCCTCGTTCTTCTTCCAGGTCAGGATGAAGTGTGCCTTGAGGATCCTGTCTGGGCCGGCATTCCCTTCTTTGTCATAGAGCCAGACCTCGTTCTTAAAGAAGCTCTCAAGTTCCTTGATCTTGGCCTGCATAAAGGCCTGTCGATCGGACACCGACATGTGTCTCTCATACACTTCATCTTTTCCCTTCTTCTTCTTTGTCATTGGTTGATCTCCTGGGAGTCGATAGGACTTGTACCCCATGCTCTTCTGGCTGTAGTCCTCTTGTGCCTTCTGTCTCCAATTTGGTTTGATCTTGAACTTTGTCTGGCCAGTCCAGTAGGCGGACTCAATCATCTGGTTGGCACTGTGACGTTTCCAACGGTCCTTGTAGGTACCGTGGGATGTGGCAGTCACCCGCTCCTTGGCCAGGTAGTTCAGGTCGATGGGACAGGTCTCCTCTGTAGGTCTGAAGGCTCCCTTGCGAGGTACATAGTGATTTCTAATCAGCCAGTTCCCTTCAATCGTCCACTCATCTGTTGGGGCATCCAAGCAAAGCCATCCCTTTTCTACCTTCCATCCAGGTGGCAGATCGGTGACTGACTGGACATCGATGTCGATCTGCATGTTCATCTCCTCTGGAGTCAACTGATCGTAGGGTGTACTTCTCGATGTCTCGGACCGAATGGGTCCGTAGGCTTTTGGCTTGCTTAAGAATGACAGAGTCTCTTGTTGATCGACCCTCATCCTCTGAGCCTTGAAGCTCTCTCGATCTGGTCCATCATACAGTCTCTTCTGATGTTCAGGTACTTCAGGAACTTCAGGAGGCGGTAGGGCTTCAGGGTTGTCCTCTCTCACTTCTTCACCGGTTGCCTCGGGTGATTCATGGCTTGAATCTGCAGGGGCTCCTCCTCCTGCTGGTGCGAAGGAACTCTGTCCTCCATTTTCAGGTTCAATAGTCTCTTGACCATCCTGAGGTGGCTCGTTCTCCTTGTCTTCCTGGTTCTCCGGATCTGGTTCACCAGGGTCTTGAAGGATGTCCTGGACGATCTCCTCGATGTCTGAATCCTGTGTCTCCACAATGGTGAAGGTTGTCGTCCCGGTCCAGGTGTAGTGAAGGGATCTCCCTGCGTCTAGTCTTCTCCACTCATCTCTCAAACTCACCCTTGCTGGGTGTGGGGGCTTCCTCCTCACTGTTGTCACTCTTTCATCAGTGAACTGAGCCGTTGGGATGTCATCATCCTGCTCAGGGACAAAGAGCTCCCTTCTGGGTCGGTTGTGTACCCGAGTCCAGACTCTTCGATCATCACTCACCTGCCAGGTGTCCTCCAGGCCCTCGTCCTCTGATGCATCTTGGGCGCCATCTTGATCATACTCCTCTTCTTCATCTCCACTTGATACTTCATGCCTCTGCCGCTTGTTGGACTTGGTCAAGTCAGTGTATTGAGTTGTACCTCGGCTTCTGAGGCTCTGAAGGGCTTGTTGTGCTCTGAAGAAAGGATCATCCTCCTTGGGCTTTGGCACTTCTGATGCAGGGACAGGTCGAAGATGTTCCGGTGCCGCTCTCAGCAAGTTGGTACCGTGGACAATCCAGTAGATGGTGCTGTATGGTCCTGCCTCCAATTGTTCAACCATCACCACTCGTGCTGGTCCTCTCCATCGAAGTTTGGGTCCAATGCCACCCGGTCCATCACGGTAGTAGTAGCAAAGGTCGCCCAATTGATAGGTGGCCAGCTGTCCCATGTACTTCCTGTTGAGCGCCCGTCTCAACCTTGTATCCACATCCGCAGAGAATACGGCATTTGCTGCTGCCTTCTGGCTCTTCAACTTGTTGAGGAACTCGTCAGATGGTTCCAAGGTTGGTGGAGACAGAGGCTCCTCTGTGAGCAATCCTGGGACATGGGGAGTGTATCCCAACACCCACTGCACTGGGCTGTATCCTCGGACGTTTGTGCTCCGGTTGATCTGGGGAACCACGTAGCATAGAGCTTGTATGAGTCGTTCTCGTGGTTCATGAGGAAGCTTCACGTCCCCTTCTTCTTGATCTGCGAGGTACAGTTCCAGGGCACGCCTTGTGACTTGGTGTCGTCTCTCCAGAATGGCAAGGCGGGTGTGGCTTTGTCCTGGCGATATCTGCAGTTCCACTCCCTGTTCTGAGCACCAAGATCGAACGTAGTCCGAGCTCCAGCTTCGGTGGTCATCAACCTGCAAAGTCTTCATCGGGCCAAAGTTCCTGATCCATGCTCTTTCCAGGGCCAGAATGAACTCATCTGGTGACTCACGGAGGAGTACTCTTCCTCCAAGGAATCTCGTGGCAGCATCGCTGATCATCAGCACTGGTAAGGCCCGTCGGATATTGGGAATCCGAATCCACAATGTGTCTGCCTGAACTCGGCTGTTGAATTCTTGGGCATTGGGAACAGAGGAAACTGGTACTTGTGGTCGTCGTTGGTGCTGGGCACAGACAGTGCATTCATGTTCCCGTGCACATTGAACAAGCACATCAGATGCTCGTTTCATCTCCAACAGCCTGATCAATTCGGCATTTGTGGGATGTCCCAGATTCCGATGTAGTCGACTTACTGTTCTCTTTGCTTGTTGGCGGTCATGGGCATGCAACCGCTGCAGAACTCCCGTTGGGTGTGCATTGTCTTCTCGAGGACCCTCAGCTGAGGGATCATCTCCTCGAGCTTCTCGTGCAGGAGCATGCAGTGGCTGTGCTTCATTGGGCTCAAGATCATCCATAGCTTCGCGGTCTGCTATTGTTGGCGTGTACTCTCCATCATCCATCTCATCAGCAGCAGCCACGAAGTCATCAGGCTCATAGTAGAGCATATCGATTGCCTCTCCAATGTAGTAGCAGAAGGTTGGTTGATAGGCTCCTGCAGCCTTTGTCAAGGATCCCACTCCCGGTAGTGATCCTTTCAATGGTAGATGCTCGTGGTCACCGGGGCATCGCCATGCCAGGAAGTCCACCATTGAGGCACTGGTCAGCTGCAGCCTCGTGGGTTTCTTCACATAGTGGTCTGCGATCTTTGTGTCGTAGGCACACTGATCCAGCAAGCATGGCCAGCCTGCTAGCTTCTTCCAGGTTTTGGTGTCCCAAGCTTTGGAACCAGCAGGATGCTCGATCCCGGCGTCCCTTCCTTCGTTGTACTGAATGGTGAAGGACCTTTCTGCTACTTTCAGATGAACTGCTTCTTCATAATCTCGGTCGCATTGAAGGGCAAACTCCTGCTCGGGTGTCAGTGTATTCAGCGCCTGCATGCGGGACCACTTTTTGCACGCAGGGGCAATCCAGATGAAGTCTGGGGAGATGTCTTCAAGCAACTTGTAGTATGCATTTCGATGGTCTGGAATATCAAAGTCCCAGCCGGTGTTGATGTCAAAGCTGAAGACCATGTAGCCTCGTCTCTGCATCTCCAAGGACAGACCAGCTTCACCTGAGTACACTTCCCAGAAAACTTTCATGCCTTCTTCATTGGCGCGCAGTCCTTGCTCCAAAACTGTGCGTCGATGTGCAAGCATTGTGGCGTGATGGAACCGGATGCCTCGAAGCAGCTTATCCGTAATCTCCTTTCTCACAAGCGCCACTTCATCATCATCTGGAGCTTGAGGTGGTGGACAACCACTTGACTCTTCATCCGTCACGTTCTCATCATCTGCCTGCAGACAGTGCTCCGGTGGTTCTCTGCCTGTTGCTTCCAAATACTGGATGAGGGTGTAGGTGGACGTGTGCATGATGCCCTCTCTCTGGACCATCTCAAAGGTCTCCGTCGTGACCAGGTCGAAGTCCAACACCTTTCCCTCAGGGTCCTGGCTGACTCCTTCATCCAGCCTGAGCAGATACTCACCTCGCTCCCCTTTCACCGCAGGCTTCCAATCCTCTTCGTCATAGCTGATCAGGTCCTTGCTCCAGTCGACACGGACCTTGAGGGCTTTCAGGATAGGCCGGCCGATCAGAAGCGGGGTAGAGCCATCCACCAAGAAGCATTCCACCAAGCCGGACTTGCCGTTGACATACACCGGGAGCTTCACTGTCCACTCGGCTTTCCTCATGGCATCACCTCCAAAGCCAAACATCTTTGTAGTTGGGTGGAATGTATACCTCTCCAGGGGAACACCACATCCATGCATGTACTCAATGATCTGCATCAAAGTCTGATGTCCGCACACCATGCTGCTGGCTCCACCGTCCTGCAGACCATACCATCCATGTTCCGAGAGAGCTGTTAGTCCATGATCCTGCAAGTCATACATCATGTACGCTTGCCCAGTGCCCTTGTTGGTGGTGTCAGTCTTGGCTCTCTTCGGGGATTGGGATGTCTTATTCATGGGGCATTCAGCAGCAGCATGTCCATACCTGCCGCACTTGAAGCACTGCATGGTGTCCAAAGCTGTCCTTCCCCTGTTCAAGGCGGACCCCTTCTGAGGGGGGGACTTGTTCTTCCCCTTGCCCTTCTTGCCTTTCCCTCCCTTGGGAATTGGCCTCTGCGAAGTTGCCATAGACGAACTGGATGAGGTGGGCATCTCAGGAGTCGTCAATGCCACCACTGGATAAAATCCTCTGGAGGCCTTGATGTTCGCAAACTGCCTTCTTGCATCAAGGTATGTGGCATAGGCTTCCTCCAGTTGAGGATCAGGTTCATCGGCCCATCCATCATCCTGGTAGTAGAGCTCGTCATCGATGGCCTCATACTCCTCAGTCTCGTCGTAGTTGGGCTCTTCCTCATAGGGCTCCTCTTCAAGAAGAGCAAATCCATCCTCTGGCTCTTCCTCGTACTCCGGGTCATAATCCTCCGCTGCATAGCCTTGTTGGCTCTTCCTTGGATACCATCGCTGACCTTTCCCTTTTGGGTTCTTCTGCCATTTGGTGCTCTGGTCAACTCGAGATCTATAGTCCTGGCCGAACAGGTAGTACATGGCCTCTTCGATCTTTGCCGTCTTCATCTCGGCGCCGACCTGGGATTGCACGAGCTGACGCTGTTCCAAGGTCAGTTGGCTTCTCCTCAACAACATCCAGCCGGACACGCTGTCCGGCATCTTGATGCCGAATTTCTCGATTTCTCGCAACTGCTCTCTGTGTTCTGAGCAGTATTGGAGAAGGGTTTGGTCTCCCCTCCTCGTGAGTTGATAGAAGAACTTCTCCAAGGCTCTTGGCATTTCGACACGACTGTCGTATTTGAACGCTGCATCCAGCGTAACCAACACTTTGTCGAAGCCGTCGGAGGACTCCACAACACTCTCAACCAAGTGTTCAACTTGTTTCCAAGCCACTCCATGAAGACTTGTCAGCAAGTTCAAAGTGGCTTCCTTCTCCTTGCCCTGCAAAGCAAGCTTGCGCTTGTACAGCATGATGCGCTGTCGCCATTCCCGGTAGTCGTTGACACGGTTGTTGAAGATCGGGATGTATGTATCTCGCATCGCTTCAATGGTCCCACCAGCCACCGAAGATGTAGTCGACGGACCCGAGGCTGAAGGTCCATCCCCTGGAGCGGGCATTGAGCGTGCCACGCTCCGCTACCAATGTTGGTAACGTGGGGAGCAAACCACGAACCGAAGCTAGGTGCACGAAGTCCTAGACAAAGTCCTCGAAACCAATGGCCGCTAGTCACGGCCCTTTTCCATCGCCATAGCTCGTGACGCGTACGCGGCCCGCCCTGTATTTGAGGCGGCGCGCGAGTTCAGGGTTCTCAAGGTTAAATTCCATGTTGTGTGGCACACAACTCACAATATATATATATATATAAAGACTTCGCCGATTTACTCGGAGCTCCCGGAGCAGGTTCCAGAGCAGGTTCCAGAGCAGGTCCCAAGTTCTGGAGCAGGTGGAGGAAGTTCCTGAGAGGAGCAGGTTCCGGAACCTGATTCCAGAATTTCGGGGAGGTTCGGGGCAGGTTCTTGAACCTGGTTCCGGAGCAGGTTGCACGTTCCGGAGCTGAATTCTAGCGCAATTTCTGCAGCTCAATTCAAGTCGCGAATCAGATTTCGAAAGCCTTCACAGCCTGTTGCTATGCCGGCACTGTCTGGTGCATTAATGCTGAAATCTTTGCGTGCTGGCAGTGTTCTCACGCAGATATGCTGACACATGTTGGTGTGTTGTTATATATATATATATTATATACATATAATGTCATGCGGATGTGTAGACAGGCTGTTGTCATACTGGTACATGCTAACACGGGTCATGCTAGCATGCGGCGCTTTGTCGCGCTGAGATTTTGACCATGCTGTTGTGCTGACACGGTAAAGGCTCCCGTGGTGGGGTCAGCAGGTTCCCTGCTCTTGGCGGGTACATATGCTATGCCGAGATTCATCGACCATGCTCACATTTTTCACAGCACTGTTTGGCAAAGGCACAAACTTGTTGGTGAACTTCCGGCTTTGCCATTGCCTAATGGACGGATTCATTTCCAGCTGTTGTGTGTGTTTTTTTTCATTTTTTGCGGGTTTATTCTTTGTTGGTGAATCCTTGTGTTGCATCTGAACTAGGGGTAAGCAAGAGAACACAAACAAAAGAGGAACGGAAAACCAAACACACCGAGAAAACCACAAGCGTTGAAGCGTGCAATGAATCATACTACAAAAACTGCCAAGGCGACCCACCCAACAGCACGACCGCGGTGTGTCAAGACTTGTCGAAATTGGCCTGGCACAAAGGAAGTGATCGGCCTTCGTTTTCTGGTGCAGCAGCAGCTCGAAGGCAAGAACATGTTCGCTCGTTTGTTTTGGGTCTAGGTTGGGCCTGTCAACATTTGGCACCGTTGACGCTGCTGCCGTCTGACATTGTTGATTTTGCTGGGATTTTGGGTTGTCAAGACACGCAAGACCCGTGTCTTTGCTTCTTTGTTTTCAGTTCTACATGTGTCAATTAGCCACTTCAACTATGAGGACAAGGGGGATTCTCTAGTTTTTTTCCCGACGTAGTGTGCCATGAACCCTCTTTGAAGACGAAAAAGGGTTACCTACTCTCGAGTTCACCTCCTCAGCTGAATCAGATTGTCATGGACTAGCCTTTGCGGGCTGGTCACCGATCTATCAGGATGATGGGTGAAACGAGTGTGATGTAAGCTTCGTCAAGATGCGACAGAGTTGTTAGACTCCATGATGGTTCATGGCAAATAGGATGCTTTCAGCAGCCCCAAGGTGGGTTGATCTAGAATTCAAGCTCTAGTCCCGATGAAGTGAAAGGGTTTTGTGACGGAAATATGGGAAGCCTTTTGCTGTTACTGGTTCAACTAGGAAAGGGATCAGGCTGAAGAATCAAGCATTTTGAGGGTGTTTCTGTTTAGAGAGTACGAAAGAAGCAAAACTTTTGGGTCTTTGCAGGTGAGCGGTTGCGCTTGTGGCTTCAGCCTCCATCCAGTGTGGGGGAAGCCATGGAGCGCTTCTTCTTGCTTTATGTCCAGGCACGCAAGCTGCGTCGGAGTGGCCGTGAGGGCTGAAAATGCTGAAAGTTTTTGGTTTTGGATTTCGGAATCTTCCATGGCTCATCTTTTCCATGCGTCTTTCTGAGTCGCCTCTGGCTGGATTGGCGCGATTCTCCAGGTCTCTCCATCTTTTAAGCGGCGATTCTCGAGGACCTACACGCACAACTACCAGAAGATTTGCGAGGATTGATGGCGTCATTCGCCGTTGTGTGCCGGAAATGCCTGTCATTCGCCGTGAGTAGACTCGCTTGATACACTCGTGAATCTCAGCATTTTGGCGTCCCAGGAGCATTCTGAGCTGTGCAACCTGAGTGTGCAGCTTTTTACCATTCCGGAGGCCAGACCAAGGCTTCAGGGTCGGTCAGACCACCTGTGCATCAGGGTCCGCCAGCGCCTTGAACATTGACGCTGAGGAGACTCCAAGCGGTGCAGCTGGTGATGGGGAAAAAACTTACTAGTAGCTTCTTGTTACTGTTACTAGTAGTAGTGGCCTCCAACCTAATAGCGATGGCCTCCACCTATATAATAGCGTCCTTGCTACTAGTTCTTGAGGACATCATCATCACTTTGCCGGAGCATTTGGAATGATTCAGTTGCTTCGGCTCAGCGTTGCTGCTTGACATGCTACAACACATCATGAAGTCGTTGACTGTTTTGCATGTTTGCTGGTTAGAGCAGGTGGCTTCGGATCTGCTGAAGGAGAAGATTTTGGAGTCTGTGCTGACTGCAGTTCAGAGGTTCAGGGACCCTTTTTATGACCAAACTATGAGGGATTCTGTGGATGACGTGAAATACAACACATATACATACACATAGAAATCAGAACCATTGCACCCTGTCTTCAAAGGTACAGAGCTTTGACTCGACTCACAGCCATATCTGCAGCGTTTGGATTTCACCAGCACAAGAGATTTGCAGCCTCTCTCACATTGAGTGGATCTCATCTCCAATTGCAATTGCCAGGTTACAGAACCAATTGCTGGATGTGAAGGACGGGGTTACACAAGCCAAGGGTTTGCCGGGCTCCCAGAGGGTAGAAGAGCAGGTGTTAGATGGCAAGACTGGGCGAGTTGAGCCTTGCAACAATCTGTTTGATGGTCAAGGTTAAATCATCCGCATGAAAATAACTTTTGAACAGGAAAGTTTACCCTTCTGCAGTTATGTGGTTCGCACAGGAAGTCAAACCTTGCCTTGTTCAGATAGAGGTGAGGTTGAACAGCAACCCACTGCCTCGAGATTTGCTTTGTCAGCTGCGATCCGTCCCTCGTATTCCCTCGTTCCGGCTGGCCATTCACGAATCGAGAAGGGCTCGTTTGTTGCTGAGGGGCGAGTGTGGGGAGATGTGGAACCATTGGTTTCGCATGCTGCACGACTTGGGGTACCTGTTCTATCATGCTTCGGTGTGCCAGTGCCCCTTGGGATGCCAAGGTTGAGGAGTTGAAGACAGACTTCAAAGACTTAAGCATCGAGACAGATTTTGCATGTTCGTATCCACACGCGTGATGGACCCTGCTCCCTCACGAGGTATTTCTTGGCCACACAGGCGGTTCAGGAGATGGTGGTGGAGGCCAACGGGTGTTTTGGTGCGCGAACATGTCCAAACGCTGGGCGAGTTTCGTACTTCTAAAGCATTTGTTCGTTTTTTTTGCGCAGAAAGATTGATTGGTGAGGCAAGCAATTATTTGAAGTGGCTCTCCACTGAATGATTGATTTTAAAGGGTGATTTTCAGCACAAGAATGCATTGCATCTTGTGCATGTGGAAGAACGAATCTCAGGATACTCCCTGCATCTCAAATTCTTGTTGGAACAGAATGTCGAGGGCCAAATGATGGGACGCGTGGACATTTACAAGATACCGCACCTAGAAGGTGAGTTTAAGGTGAGCCATCTTTTCAGAAACAAATAAAGACAGGATGGGAAGTCGGAACATTCGATGGACCAGTGAATTGTCATCCCTTTTGTAGCTCCTGAGGATCGTTCCATCCCTGAAGACCGAATGGTGGAGATGTTTGCTTCAGAAACTAGCGATGCCCTCCAACCTAGAAGCAATGGCCTCCAGCCTACTAGCAAAGAAACCTTTTGTTCAGAACATCCGAATCCAATGCCTTTTTTTGCCCCCCGTTGCACCATTGCAACTTCCCTGAATGCTGGTTGCTCGCCCAGCTCATGGTGCCCCTCTGGCGCCTTTGCGCACAAAAGCGAGAAGAACGTGCGCACATCCTCTACGAGAGGCGTACGTCGGAGGCATGGAGGGATGGGGGAAGAGGCAGAAAGAGATGGTGACAGATGCCGCCTCAAATGTTTGGGACACGATTGAATCAAGCAGGTTTCCTGAATAAACTGATGCTTTCAGTGTCTTCACTTTGTGACTTTTCTGTCCCCAAAGAGGATCCTGACTCTTCTTCGATCAAGGCATACTTTTGACCTGAGGCGCAAAGGATCTGGCAGGCATGCTCACCTATGTGACCTCACTGGCACAAACCTTGAGCATTTTGCGCCAGAGCCTGTTGCATCACTGAGCCAAGCATTTTCGCCAAAGATCATTGGGGCAGACGAATGAAGCAAATGGTACTATTGCCCTGTGGTTGCCTTTCCAAGTCTTTGAGGACTCTGCCAGATCATGCTAGGAAGCGTCCCACTGCCGAAACTTCGATCGTTTGCTTTCGAGCTTTTTCGATCGTGGGTCTTCATGTCACAGCCTGGTGGTGCTCCGACCCACCCAAAGGGTGTCTAGGGTCGGTGCCATGGGCTCCTTGTCCTTGGCGAACCGGCAGCTGATGGTTCTGCCCGACCTCACAGGCAGGTCGAAAGATGTTTTCGGGTGTGTGTGAGTGGGTGGGACACTCGTTTCAAGCAGAACACATCCTCCAAGGAAGGCCCAAGCCTTTCTTGCCAAGTCAAATTGGACGCGGTCAGCACTGTGCTCGGAGTCACACTGTGCTGGGTAAGCTGAAGAATTGGAGTCATGTATCAAGTTCTCCAGCTTTCTTTGACACAGCTTAAAGTACACTCTGTGACTTTCCACTTTAACATTTATTGGAGACAGCAGCCACCGGGTCACCTGGGGTTTTGTGGATTGGTGTGCTGCTAGGTATTCAAAGTTTAGAAGATCTATGTGATGCTTTTGGCCAGTAAGCTGTAAGCTCTTTGATTTAGGTTCTCAGTCAGCCGAGAGAAGGTCACAGCGAGCTCACCTCATTGGATGCCTCTGGAAATTGCAGGGAGCCTCAGCTACTAGGTGGAGGCCATCGCTACTAGGGTGGAGGCCATCGCTACTAGGGTGGAGGCCATCGCTAGTAGGTTGGAGGCCATCGCTACTAGTAGCAAGAAGCTACTAGTAAGAAGTGCATAGTGCATCGCTACTAGTAACAAGTGCCTTACTAATAGTAACAATGTTCTACTAGTAGCAAGAAGCTATGAACGCAGCTAAGGGCGTTGACCTCAGATTTTGCGCTCCCACTGAGATCTGGGCTCCGTGGCACGGCTACCGCTGCAGCTGCCGCGGCTCCAGTCCTTGCGCTTGCAGCGGAACCGGCTACGGCGCCACCCAGACAGCAATTTGGGATGCCTCGCGGAGTGACAGGCTACCATATTGTGTAGTGGATATCCGACCTATGTCTTCAGCTGCACCTTTGCCCTGTTAGGATCCAAACTTCTGGTGATGCTTTGGTGCATAGGACCATTTCTTGGGTATTCTGCAGTTTGATTTTCAAGCAGTTCCAAGAACGAGCGACGCTGCCCAGCCGACAGATCCGACAGATCTGACATGTGCCATCCCGGCAAAGGTGTGGGTAAACAAGGCCTGGGTACGTGGTGAATGAAACTGAAAGACTGAAAGTGCACATGTTTTGGAAAAAATCCAGGTAGGCTTGGCACATGTGTGTTACTTCTTAAAAACTGTTCAGCTTATTTGCAGTAGATATTTTTCTTCCTTTTTCGGAGTTGATCAATCGCCAGAAAGAGCTGGTATTCTTTCTAATTTCCTAAGGCACGAAGCTGTTCAAGGTCCGGTAATCCAACTGATCATTCGAGGACAAACGACAAGGTTCACCGGACGACAAGTGCTTGGTGATTTTCCGTCCGACTGGCAAAACCGAGGTGTTGACCGGCTGGGAGACCTGCTGCACTTGCAGTTCTTGGACGTCTCAGAGAACTTACTCGGACCTTCGCCTGGAGCGGTCCTTCGGCGAGAAGACGTGGATAGCATATGATGACATGCGGTGATGTCGGTGGTGTTTTTGATGGAGCGCCCAAACGCTATGAAGGGTACATGGTTTTATAAAAGGGAATCATGTGCTGTATTATACGGCAGAATTCTGCTGGGGCAAATGATGTGATCCTGTCTCCTCAGTTTCTGGTGTTTTGCTGGTATAAAGCATTGCTATGTGTGCAACGATGTCATCTCAAAGCTCTCGAGGCTCTCCAGATGATTGGCAACTGCTGCAAGCTCACGGTCATTTGCGTGGCTGGGAATCCCTTTGTAGATGACACTTGTCTTACATTTCACACAGACATTGAATTGGTGCAGTTGTGATTCTACTCTCTGAGTTTTTGTCACCTGGTCAGTTCCAAAAACCGCTGCTATGCAGCTATTCATGGGTTTCAGGCTCCACCAGGTCTCAGGTCCTTCCATGGCCGTTGGACATATCAGGAGCAAGGCGACTACCGCTATCAGCTCATAGACCTTTGCCCCTCTTTGCGGATGGTGGATGGGGAGGAGACGTGGGCTGCGTCGCCGAAACACTTTTCCATCCCGAAAGACGACCAACATTGGCCAAGAATAAACTTGATGACATGGCCATGAATCTTCTTTGACCCTCCACTTAGACTATTTGCTCAACCGTTGGGCGCTTACAAATTGAGCATACTCAGGGATGTTGGCGCTTGCATCATTGCGTTGCTTCCGTATGCGGGCTGAATGGTGGAAGCTTGTGAGATGTTCTCAATGACGTAACTGACAGGCAAGCCTAAGTAAATCGGGTATCTTTCCACGTACGTGCAGGCTGTGAAAGGC